TACTCCGTCTCCGAAACCTTCCGCCCAACGCACAAAAGATGCAACAGCTAGGGCGGAGTCTTCCTCATCCTCAGCATCTCATTCTACCCACTCTTCTTCCTCTTCTTCCTCTCGACCTTCCATCGCTAGAAACCGCCACTCTTACCAACCCGATACTGCGCCGCATCCCTCTGCCATCCGACGCGACCTCTCAGGCTCCGAGACAGAGCGCGAATCCGCCCGAGGCAATTCTTCATTCAATTCGTACGATGATGAAGACGAGGATGGCGAGGATGGTTCACCGGTATCTATCCTGCTCAACCACACGTCATCCACGCTCTCCCGATCAGCATCAGCGAAAACACCTGGACGGCCTACCACGCCTTCGTTCCGTGAGACTACGTACTCTACGCACCTCAGTCCTCGTCGTTCAATACGGACAAGGTTGACTTCGGCCCCTGCGTCTCCGGCGAAGGCACTATCCTCCATATCGAGGTCCACATCTGGATCTGGTGGTGGGCAGGGTGACCCTCTCGCATCGCCCGGGAGACCTAGGAAGAGATCCTCAATGGGGTTACCTTCAATAACATTCGATTTGCGGGAACGGGAGAGGGAGGATTTGGCGAGTGCTGCATTGGCTGCTGTGGCCAGCTCCCGTAGGGGACTTGGTGGTACTGCGGCCGGGGGTAGTGTTAGTGCAGGGAAGAAGAGGCAACCGCTGCCACGAGAGTTTTGGGAGGGGTCGAGTAACACTGGGAGCAATTCCATCAATGGGAGTGCGCATGGCGATCGTGTGGGTGGTGGAAGCCGAAGTCGAAGAGGAAGTCTGGCCAGTTCGAACGGGGTGAGTTTCGTTTTATATTTATTTTTGTCCCCAAATTTTCGCTTCCCTTTGTCTCGTGAACCAAATTCCGATGGTGTCGTAGCTTCCCTTGTTCGTTGTTCTGGCTTTGATCGTTCCCTCCCCCCTCTTTCTTGTTCTTTGTGGCACACAAGTATCTGGGATGTCTCAAAATAAGTGGAACATTCATCCTTGGCGATATCTTGTTTTATCTCGTTCTTTTGCCCAATTTGTGTTTCTTTCCTCTACCTACTGTACCCCTCTCTTGACACCTTCCGCCCGCCCAATGCCCTCGAACTCACCTTACGTGCACCTTCGCAAACACCCGCATCCACTCTCATCATCTTTCTCTTTCGTACGTAAAGCGTGCTTGCTTCTGTGGTTCTGGTTATGGCTTGTGATGTGGTTGAATATGCGATCTGTGAATGTTCGTTCATTCGATTGTGCCTATGCCATAACTAACGGGATTCATTTCACTGTTTCTGCCCCTTCTCTTCCTTCATGTTTACTCCCACCGCCACCACGTTCTTTCATTTCGATCTGTCCTTTCTTCTTCTCGCGACATTCTTTTACCCTTTGACAATTTTGTTCCGTCTGATCTCTTTGCACGAATGAATGCTTACTCGGTTTCGTCCTTTCTAGCACCTCAATGACGAAGACGACCGACGTCGATCTTATTCACGTTCACCCTCTCCTTCACCACTCGAGAGCAGCGCCGGATCTCGAAGCTCAACGCGACAACAACGCGACACGAACACGAGGAACCCAGCAACGCTGACCCCAGGGGGCCGAAGAAAATTCTACTCCATCAACACCAGACGAACGAGCGGCGCGTGGGCGTCTGAGGATCTCGGAAATCGGAGTCGGGAGTATGACGACGACGATGACCATGAGGAGTCTGGGTATTCGCCTGCGGTTTTAGGGAGAAGGCAGGCTGCGAGAGCTGGTGGGAGTGCTGATAGTGTGTTGACTATCGCTGCTGGTGCGGTTGGTGGTGGGAGGAGTTTGCTTGGGGAGGGATTGAAGGCCGCTGGGCTTAGTCCGGTCAAGAATCGTGATCGTGGGGGAAGAGATACATATGCGACGGGGAGTATGAGGAGGAGAGATGAGCTGGTTGAGAGTCCCGTTTTTGAAAGAGACAGGGAGAGAGAGGAGAGGTTGGAGAGGATACGAAGTCAGAGTCGGGCGGAGTCGAGGCCTGTGTCGAGGGCTGGGCAGGGACAGGGACATGGGAGGGCTGCGACGAGTATTGGGATGACCGAGTACTCGAGTCGGAGGGAGAGGGAAGAGGCTGAGCTGGACGATGATGTTGACGATGAGAGGGCACTTCCACCTGGGTCAACGAACTTGAGGGCGTACAAGAGTGCTTACAATCTTGGCGGTGGAAGGGAAAGGGACAGAGATAGGGAAAGAGATGACAGGGAGAGGGATAGGGATAGGGATAGAGCTCCGTCCTCGCTGAGCCGCTACGATGACAGGGATAGGGTGCCCCAGTCGACTGCACCACCGTCCGTTATCAGCCCCTTGGGTACCCGGAGGTTCAACACTGTCTCCTTGTCGGACATAGGTCGTGCGGATATCCCGGACAGCCAATCAGCAATGTCTTCTCGTAGAGGAGGTGCATCCATTGACCGTTCGGATCATAACAGTCTCCTGGATAGCTCACTCGACCTCTTCGAGAACGCTCTTTCGAAAATCCCCTCTTCTTCGTCATCTTCGAGCGCAAGCAATACGAGCGATCTTGTACGGAACGCTCGGGTCATTGTGGGTGCTGTCGAGAAGTTGAACGGACTGCTGAAGGCTGGCCATGGGCGCGCGCTGAATGCTCAGATTGACTGTGAGGTTCAGGCAGCGGGTGGAGGTGGAGGTGGGGGTGCCGGGAGCGCGGAAGAGGTTTGGAGGCTCGTGGGTGGGGAGTACCGCGAAGGATTGCGAGTATCGGATGACCTCGTTCGCGCCGTCACAGACTTCCTTTTGGGTGTCGGGCGAGCAGTCAAAGATATGGGTATTGTCCCATCCACCGTGGAACCTACCGGCGCGTTGAACGGAGATCACCATGCTAGGAGCGTGAGTCTGGACGAGGCGGGGGTCAGTCGACTTGGCAGGACAAGTATGAGTCCCGATGCGGGCAGCGGTGGTGCAAGGAGCACGGGTACTGGAAGTGTCGCCAGCGGTGGTGCTCATTCAAGGAGAAGTTGGGAGCCGACACCAGGCAGAGATACGGAGACGTTAAGAAGGCTGGCCGAGTCGCGGCCAGAGACTTCGTTGGGGGTTCTAAGCACCAACCGGACCGATCACCGTACTTCAATCACCAGAACAACAAAAAGAGCCGGTACACCCAACGAACCACCTCACTCGGCGGCATCTACCCGACGCCTATTCACCCCGAGAGAGATCCGAGAGCAGCAGTTGATACAGGACGAGGGCGGGCCTGGCGGAATGGCTACGTTTGATTCTCAAGAAACACTACACGCAGCAGGTTACGAACCTTCCCCTACACCTGCCTCCAGAACTGCGGCCAGACTCCAGCAACAACAGTCGGTCACAAACGAAAGAAGTCCGAGACCCCTCCCTGATAGTTCACGAACACTCCCTCCACTTGCGATACCTTCTCCCCGTCCAGCGCTACCCTCCGAATACCGACAAACTCAAACCCCGGCCAACAAAACCTCCGCTTCAAACGCCTCCACTCTTTCCAGGCGTAGAACTACACACGGACCCTCATCCACAGTCCGCAGCCCTGCCTTCCCTTTGGCTACTCGTGATACGCCCACCACCGCCGTCACTACCACACATGCCTCTGGGGCACACGAAAAACGCGCTTTCCCACTCGTTCGCGGCAACTCCAACATCTCGGCTACCTCTGGTGGCAGTGGTAACGGAGCTCGTTCGACTGTAACATTCTCGAAGTCATCGACTACAACTGCCCTAAGTGGGTTACAGCAACAACAGCAACGTGCGCAGCAGCAGAGGCAGCGAACATTATCGAACTCGAGCGACTTACGGGACGACAGTTACGAGTACCACAACGAGCTAGCCGATCCTCCACCAAGTTCTAATGGCGCATCATTTACATCGAAAGGCAGGAGTGCAATCACTCCGGGGAAGATTCAGCGGATGACATCTGGAGGTAGTGAGACCGAGAGGGACGTCTACAGGAGGAACGGAACTGTTAGAGATAAGGACGGCTCGAGGGCACCCAGGATCTCGTTCGATGAATCGTCTTTGACTGTGGGCGTCAAGGGGGGTAACGCTGCGGTGTCAGGAGGACATGCAGCGGATAGAGCAGCGATGTCCACGATTGGACAGAAGAGAGAGAGGCGGAGAACAGTTGTCGATATGTGGCCCCGAGGGGGGAGCTAGGAGCTGTCACGCCAGTCTGAGCGGTTTTGTTGCTTGTACATGTGAGTCCGCTTCTGCTTTATACTGGTCGTATGGTTGTTGACATTTTTTGCGCTACAAACAGGAGGCTTTTCCAGATGTTCATATTTGTTCTCGGGCTTCCGACATTCCCCTGCCTAAAGAGAAGATATGTACGATATACCATTCGAACCACATTCTTTGGGCCCCTTCACGCGTCCTTATTTTTCTTGTCTGTCTATGTCTGTCTCTACCTCCCGTGTTTCATAAGTTTTTTCTTCGTTCTCCACAGTTGTCCTATTACGTTGCACGTATTTATGGGCTAAACTCCCTCTCTCCCCTCTGCCTCAGTATGTATCTCTCGCTTGCGTTCGGACGGTTGTGCGAATATGCGCTTTATCCTTTGGCTCTCGTATTCGTGTGTTATTGAACCCTCTTCCCTTGCACTTTTTGATCTGGTAGTATCATTTGCCTTGCACCACATCTTCTTATAGCTAGATCCCACCGCCGCGCTTGCGTTCCTCTTTTTCTCTACTCTATGCCTCGTCAGATTTTCTTTGTTTTCTCTTACGCTCTCGATACTTTACTTTCCTCAAGCGACCACAGGTTATGTATTTGTGTCTAAAAGCTAGTTGCTTATAATAAAAGTAAAGTTGTATATGCCACGCAGCATGCCCCGATGGGGCCGAGGTTGAGATACCTGACGGAGACGACAGCGACGATGTGGTGAGTCTGACCTTCCACCTCCAAAGGTAGTTAGTTCCCTGATTGATAGAGTGGCTGGAAGCAAAAAAAAAACAATACATTGATTGTTCACAAGTTCCCCCTAGCCGACTTGAACGACTGACCTCTTCATGTGCGGAATACTAGTGAAGCGCTCTACCACTGAGCTAAGGGGGATATGAAATCACAGGGAATGCTACATATCATATCAGGTATCATAACGTATCACTTAGTTCAGGCACAGTATTAATATACAGAAACGAGGCAGGTCACTCAACATACACCTCCGTTCCCTCCTTCCATCGAGCATTAGGTTTATACTTCAACCCCGGATCCTTCATCCTCTCTCGAACCGTAACATGAAATTTTGGATGTTCATCCTCAATCTTCCTTCCTCTACCGAGGTTTGCTCTGAAAGGCTTGGCGTTACTGAACTTGACATAACAAGGAACAAAGGTATCTCACTCGAAAGTTTCATGCCAAACACAATCTGCATCCTGCCACCAGTAACGCATCGGTATGACCTCGAGAACCCACCACAGTACTTCCCCGTCTTTCCCGAGACTCAACCTATCGTGTACAGGCGTCAGAGCGTCAGGTTTATCCATTTCGCGCATTTGAGTTTCGTCTAATTCGGCTGGAGCAACTTGCACTGGCAATGGGGCCTTGGTCGTGCGGCCAGCGTGAGCGGAGGGTACTTCGATCCTTGGTATCGAAAGTTTAGCAAGGGCATCGTCCCGGAAGAGGACCCCGCATTGAGACTTGATGACTTCGCGAACCATCCACCTGAGGGTGATGTTCGCCAGTGAGTGAGGCGTGTCGTTTCTGACGGCGCCACCGCCGATGTCTAGTTGGTAAAAGGAAAGTCAGAGTCGATGACAGACTCGATGATAGACCCGTTGTCTGATCCTTACCGCTGTGACAACCAGGACATTTGTGTTGGGTTCGTCGTCTTCTTTGGGAACCGATGATGATGCAGAGACAATGTCCGCTTCCTTTTGCTTCTTGCGACTGAGACCCGAAAGGAGTCGTCCTTTGAGTTTCTTGGGTAGTGACCCTACGTTCATATCATCCCCAGTGCCTGTCGATCGGTGAAATAGATTAGCCCGGAACCTGGTGCGTCGCTAATGCCAGTGATAGGGAGTTGAGAAGATCCGATCCGTTCAGAAGAATCAGCCGGGCATACCTCGTCGATAGCGACTGCATGTCGAAACGTTTTCACTGCCGTGTTCGAGTCTGTAAAGGGAAGAGACCTGGTCGTAATGACTCCAACCGAAGATACTGTATCCCTATAAAGACTGTCAGCCGCAATCTTGAGGTAGGGGGCCAGACACAAAGTTACACGCACCAAACGCCCATGAACTCGATCTTGACGCTGTGATTCGAACAGTACGTCGTTTTGAAGCCCGCTGCCAACTCAATACCTTCATCATCCGTCCGAGAGTACAGCTTGTAGGCAAATGGGATCTGTTCATCGTTGTCTTTCGGAAGGAGACCAACCTAAACGGGCATGGAACAAGCTGGCTGTCAGCCACCTACGCGTGCATATACAATAAGACGTACTTTGTACAACATTCCTGCTACCGCACGAGCTGTGTACGCCCCCCTAGAGAAACCTGAATAGGCAAGTCGCGTCTATATCAAGATGGAACGCGGGAGTGAGCGTAAGGGTGTGGTGTGCATACCGAATATGCTGATCTTGTCATCGGGGCGATAATTCTGCATAATGAATCTATATCCTTCCATGACATGCGTTGGAAGGTACCTGGAAAGAAATCAGCGCGCTGAATGAGTCTCATAGTCGCAGCTACGTACCAGGCAAACGCCTCGTCTAATATCTTTGCTCCCCACTGCAATAACGGCGATACGGCACCCGGGTCGAAATAAGTGCCGACACCAGCCTGAGAGTGATTATTGTTAACCGGACCACGATTCGGACACGAGAGTTTCTCACTTGATAGTAACAAAGCTGTTCCTCGGAGTCGCCCTTCTCTAGCAAGGAAAAGAACTTGACAACGTTGGTATTCTGTCGAGACCGAAAGGTTAGTAAATTCTTGAGAATCACGTCAAGAAACCAACCTGGCTTGAATATTCACTCGACGTCCCATCGAAGCACAGTATAAGATTGCGAGACTTGGATGAGAGTGAAGAATGGTCCGACATGGTGGGGGAGAAGCAACAGCTAGTGATTCAACAGCGGTATTTGTATGATGTCTCGGTCTGTCAAAGGGGGATCTGTTCTTTCCAAAAAAGCACATTCATCACGTCGCACTAGTGCCTTGGTCGTATCATGGGAATTTCGCCTCAACAAAGACATCTCAAAGGGTCCCTCTCAGCCCCTCAATCTCCCAATCCTCCACAAAGCACGAGCAAGAACGACGGAGGAAGTCAAATTCGGTAATCTATTGAAAACCTTCTTTCTCCAAATCCGTGGAAAATCCGCCAACCGGTCAAAATGACGTTCTCATCGGTGGTACAGTTCTGCTAATGTGAGGCTAATCCTGAGCCGGTGCATGAGAGTGCGACTAATAGAATCAGCCGTGCTCACCTTGGCCCAAATGTAGTTTACAGGCCTGGGGTTAGCTACTACTAGAAGTAGGCCGTTCTCGATCATTTGCATCGTGTAATGGTCATCACTAAGTACGCAGCAGTGTGGGAGGTGGGGAGAGTGAAAAGCTAAAAGTAGCAACCTGCCGGCGGCTGGGCGTTCCGGCATCCGCCGGATATTGACGCTCCGACTCAACCAGCGGTGACTGGCAGTGACTGGTCAGTGGTCCATCATAAACTTCTGTGCTCTCGTTCAACTCCCGAACACCTTGTATTTCGTTCCTTGCATCATCGATAACTGGAGATCATTGGGTATGGACGAGTTTCCAGGTATCTTCTTCCATTCCCTGACACGACTCCCCTCCATTGGACCCTCTTCCTGGAATAAGGCCTCACTATTGACTCAGACGGTAGCCCTGCCACCCCCCTGAACACATTCGAACTCTTGCGCCCGATCCTCCCATTCTATGAAACCCACCGCTTCGACTGGGGCCTCAAGATCCTACCAGCGCGTTAGCCCCTCCTCGGTGCTCAGCGTTGACTGTTCACGCACTACGAGGGCCTCGAAATAAATCCAATGGTGGTTACACTGACACTCTTGGGGCCCTCGAATCTACAGTATACCGCGGTAAAAGACATCGAGGCGTCGTACTTTCTATATCCCCTGCAAGCTCTCGCGGCCATTTGTCAATCAACTGGAAATAGACTCAGACTTCCAGAGTTGGTTTCTCCCGTGCACACCGGGCCGCAAGCGTGAAACATCTGCTAGGCTTGTTTCCTTGTTATTGTTTTCCCTCTTTTCGATCGAAAGTCTGCACTCCGCTGTACCGCAGTCTGCGCCTGTTATCCGCCATAAACTATCTAACTGTGACCGTGGCAACGAGTGTTGTTCCCTGTCCCGATGCAGACACTGCGGACGGCCCACACGGTGCAACGTCCCTTCCAGTTTCACAACATATCCCCGTGCTCCGAGTCAAACCAGGATTACAGTGTACTGTATTAGGACGCAGGGTTGGATCTGTGCGCCTCCACGAGTGAATGGATTGACAAAAATAACTCGTGGTGCTGTTCATCAACGCATTCCCACATTGTAGCAAATTCAAGTCCTCGACCGTAGCTCTGATACTCCTGCCATGCTCCAAGCAGAACTTGGAGGTTTCACAAGATCCCATGCGGAGGAAGCGGACGAGCCCTCCGCTACGTCGACCCCTTGCCACTTCTTCCTCAGTTTCCTCTATTTTGTCACCCCGATCGTGATTGCCGATAATCATTTGTGCGGTGTACCCTGGTGTACTGGACGGAATGGCAATATATATGGCGGCGAGGCGCCCCACGGAGTTCTTGCTAAAATCATGTATAAACAAAGCGTTTGTTGGGGTGGCTTTGAAATTTGGTCATTTCCCGCAAAATGGTGATGAGGATCCTTTCCTTCACTTTCCTTGCCGCATTCTTCATCCTCTCCGCTCAGGCCTCCTGCAGCCATGGTACGACCCTTCTTCGACGAGAAGTCAATGATGGCAAAGTCAAGACCAGCGCTTTTGGATACGACGACGAGACAGGCCCTTTGGTATGGGCTGGTATGGACCCCAATAATACCGCTTGTCATGCAGGACACGCTCAGTCGCCAATCGTCTTGAACGCATCAACGCCCAGCGCTCCACCCGTCGCTGTCACGTTCCATTCCGCACACGAAGTCGAGCTTGAGAACCTTGGGTCCACGTTGGAAGTAGTGGGCGCGAACGGAACGACAAACTTCCGGGGCAGGGACTACCATCTGAAGCAGTTCCATTTCCACACACCGAGCGAGCACCGTCTGAACGGAGAGTATTACCCCTTGGAGATGCACATGGTGAGCACTGTCCCGAAGCCTATTTTTTTTCGCCTACTGTTTACCAACATGCGCCGTACCAGGTCCATGAATCTACAACTACATCGGCAACCGCTACATTAGCGACACCGTCATCCCACCGCGGCTTGAAGGCTCTTCATGCTCGCGACGCACACACCGAAAGCAGCTTCCTCGTTCTCGCCGTTTTGTTCGAGTTGTCGGAAAACAATACCACGAGTGGATTCCTTTCCGGCATTACCGAGAGCCTTCACCGCGTCAAAGAGCCTGGATCTATCACCCAGATCGAACATCTCGACTTATCAGACCTCGCTACCGCGATCCAGACAAAGCCCAAATATCATTACGTTGGTTCCCTTACCACGCCACCGTGCTCGGAAGGCATCAACTTCGTCGTATTGAAAGAGCCTCTGGAGTTGGATGTAAAGACGTACAACGCGATGAAGAAGATCATGAAGTTTAATGCTCGTTACACGCAGAACGCGTTGGGTAGAGATAACCTCCTCGAGATGGCTGCAGCACAGTTTGCTGGGTGAAGGGACGTCGACCATCTTGTTTCGGACGCTGATGAGGGGAGCATTTGCAACATAGAGAACATCATCCCGGTAGGATACGCCAAGGACGGGTAGATCGAATGGACATTCGATGGACATTACGGTATAATATATCACATACAAAGTTATTCTAGTACATGATCGGGAGGGTAGAACCTATAATAATCTGTGTCATTGACAACACGAAAGCGACACGTTTGGACTAAACGTCAATGCGTCAACCTCCGAGT